CAATGCCATTATTTTTTAAATTTATTTTTATATGGTGCTAAGGATTGAACCCAGTGCCTCATACATGTTAGGCAAGTACTTTACCATTGAGCTATAACCAGGGCCCTATTAGTTGTTTTAGTTAGAAAACCATTTCCTAGGATGTTTCAAGGCACCATCTTTTTGAATCATTATGGTGGCCAACAGAAGCAAATTATATCCACACTACATTGTACTCTGAGGTCCAGATGGTTTAGCCAGGAACACAAATCTAGTAACAGGTGGCAAGGTGTAACTTTGGGCTGGGTATGAACTCAGTGGTAGAATGCCTGCCTAGCCCTGAGTTTTATTCCCACCCCACAAACAGAACAAAACAAAAAAAGATATAACTAAAAAGTGAGTTCCCTGATGGCTGAAAATGATTTGCATTTTTTCCTCCAGTCCTGGGCATCAAACTCAGGGTCTTGGGCATGCTAGGCAAGCATTCTACTAGAAGAGATTCAATTTGCCTTGGATTTCCTAGTGCAAGGAGTAGAGATTCAAATGCCCAGAGTGGAGAAGCAAGGACTATGACAACTTGGAGAATGAATGTCCCATCAATAGGTGCAGCTCAGCACCAAATAATTGTTACCAAGTAGCCATGCAGGTCTAGAGAWGTCAAACCATTTTAAATTATCACGAGAGAGACAATTGTAGTTCAGAGGTAGAGCATTTGACTACATGTACAAGGCCCTGATTCAATCCCCAGCACTGGGGGGGAAAACAAAAACAAAATAACAACAACAACAACAAAATGATTTGGCTTCTTAGGATAATGTGTGTGTGTGTGTGTGTGTGTGTGTGTATAGTAGGCCTTGCATGTTCTAGGCAAGCATTCTATCACAGGGCTATATCCCCAGCCCATCAACTTTTAAATGTAGACCCCTGCACACTTATTTTGTAAACAACATATGACTAAAACAAAACAAAACAAAACAAATTATATGGAATTAACAAAAAATGTATGTGGATCACCAGTTTTTAAATTCTTCCCTAAGTATAGCACATAGTAGTCACTGGTTCATTAGTTTGTTCACTCACTCCTTCCTTCCTTCATTCATTGATTCATTCATCCAAATACTTAAAAAGCACCTGCTCTGTGCTAAGTGCTCTGGTAGTGGCTGGGGATACAATGATAAATAAAATAACCATGTTCCCTTATTTCCAAGGAGCTTACACTCTGTGGGGAAGAGCCTTAGGAAACAATCCCATGTGCTATGAACCGTGAAGGGGAAGAGGTTGGGACAGTGCACAATACTGTGGACCACAGAAGAAGGTAGTGACTAAACTAATCCAAAAGTACCAGGGAAAGAATCCTGACAGAAATAATTAGTTCTTTCTTTTCTTTTCCTTTTTTTTTTTTTTTTTTGTACCAGGGATTAAACCCAGGGGTGCTTAACTGCTGAGCCACATCCCCAGCCCTTTTCATGTTTTATTTTGAGACAGGATCTCACTAAGTTGCTTAGGGCCTTGCTAAATTGCTGAGGCTGGCTGGGAAGTCGTGATCCTCCTACTTTAGTCTCCTGAGTTGCTGGGATTACAGACATGAACCACCATGCCCAGCCAGAAATGATATTTAATTTGGGATTTGGGAAGAAYTTTCCATGCAAGGGTATGCCATGGCTTGGAGGGGGAAGTTCAAAATATATTCAAGGAGGGCTGGGTTGTAGCTCAGTGGTAGAGTCTCGCCTAGCACATGTGAGGTACTGGGTTTGACCCTCAGCACCACATAAAAATAAATAAAAGATATTGTGTCCAACTACAACTAAAAAAAAAAAATTAAAAAAAATATTTTTTTTCAAGGAAATGAAGGCTATTCAGTATAGCAAATGTGGGTCGGTGAGAGCCAATAAATGAGGCTGGGAAAGGCTTAAAAAGGAGACTGATGGGGCTGAGGCTGTAGCTCAGTGGCAGAGCACTTGCCTAGCATGTGTGAGGTAATGGGTTTGATGCTTAGCCCACATAAAAATAAACAAATAAAATAAAGGCATTCTGGGCTGGGATTGTGGCTCAGCGGTAGAGCAATTGCCTAGCACGGGTGGGACCCGGGTTTGATCCTCAGCACCACATAAAAATAAAGGCATTGTGTTGTGTCCATCTACACCTAAAAAAATAAATATTAAAAAAAATACATATAAAATAAAGGCATTCTGTCCATCTACAACAATCAATCAATCAATCAATCAATCAATAAATGGAATTGGACTTGTATCTAAGACAACATTCTCTGGCTAGGTCTAGAAAATGCACTGTAACCAGGCTGGGGATACATCTCAGTTAAATAAAAAAAAAAAAAAAAAAAAGAGGGCTGGGGCTGTAGCTTAGGTGGCAGAGCGCTTGCCTAGAATGCATGAGGCACAGGATTCAATCTTCAACACCACATTAAAAAAAATAATAAAGACAAATAAAATAAAGGCAGTCTGTCCATCTACAACTACAAAAATATTAAAAGAAAACTGGGCTGGGGTTGTGGCTTAGTGGTAGAGTGCTCGCCTAGCATGCACAAGGCACTTGGTTCCATCCTTAGCAGCACATAAATGTAAAATAAAGATATTGTGTCCATCTAAAAAACTAAAAAATAAAATTWAAAAAAAAAAGAAAATGCACTGTACAGTGGGTAAACTTGGAGACAGGGAGACCAGTRAGGAGGTGATTCCAACAGTCTAGTTGAGAGGTAACAGTGGTTTGGACTACAGTGGTAGTAGTGAGAATGGACCAACATGGATGAAGATCGGAGATATTTGTGACCCAAAGATTCTTTGAATAGGTGAATGGAAGGAGAGGTGGGAGTCACTGATGTCTCCTGGAGAAATATTTGATGAATCAGTGATTGGATGTCCTGGGCTCCATATGGGCCCATAGGAGGTCTGACCCCCTAAACAAGGAGGCACTGGTCAGGTGAATATGTGCCAATCTGCTGAAACCTGTCAATGATGTACTTTTTTCCTGCTATCTGGTTGGAGCTKGTATTCTGAAGAATGCTCTGCTCACACCTGGCAGCACAAAGCCAGCTGCATTCTGCAGCTATTGATCTTACCCAGATTCATGGTGTACACATCTGAGAAACTTCTGTTTGGATTTGCTCCTCCAACAATGACGACCTTCCCTCTCTTGGCATCACCAACTGGCGGTAAATATGAGCAACTGTGGCCAACTCGAGCACAGGGGCTGTCTCCAGGGGGAGTCAAGGTGTACCTGCCAAAGGGAGGATGTACTCAGGAGACCTAAGCACAGAACAAATGTAGTGGAGTGTTCTTTTCATTGCTCATGAAGCATTCACAGAAGGAAGGACCTGATACATACACAGACACTTTAACTGTATCCAGCAAAACAGCCCTTCCCTGATCAACAGGAGTATCTTTCTATGTTCACAGCTTTGGTTTTTCAATTTTGTCACTACTTCCACCTTATATAACCTAAGTGAGATGCCCTGGGTTGGTAATGACCCCATATGGTGGACAGGGAAATGACATCCAGAAATGTTCACTTTTTATGTCTTGACACAACAGCATAGTTAGTGGTTATAAACATGGTTTGTGAATTTGAACAGACCTGGTTCTAGTCTCAGCTCCAGTACTTTCTAGATGTACGACCTGGAAGTCACTTAACCCTTCCGAACTTCATTTTCTTCATTTGTAAAACAAGGAGAGCAACAGGTCTTACCTCAAAAGGTGGTTGTGAAGACTCAAAGCCAGTAGCAGTGTAGGAAGGGTCTTGTTAAAGGGTGCCTTCATGGGGATGCCTACAGACTCAGGTTCTTGCCACTAACCAGTGATGTCTCCCTGTCCAGAAAAGTTTTCTAGGATTTGTGGATTTTAAGAGCCTTTCCAGATTACTCATAAAGCTCAACCTGATGCAAGCCAAAGCTAAGACTTGGAAAATTGCATACAGGATTCAGTCATTCCATTCTCTAAAGTTATTCTGAATGCTAACTGAGAAAACACATTTTAAAGTTTCATGATTAAAAAAGAAAATTCCCCGGGCTGGGATTGTGGCTCAGTGGTAGAGCGCTTGCCTAGCATGTGTGAGGTACTGGATTTGATTCTCAGCACCACATATAAATAAACAAAATAAAAGTCCATTGACAACTAAAAAAAAATATTAAAAAGAAAAGAAAATTCCTTAGCTGTTTTTTAGGCCATGTTTTATTGACATCTCTGATGTCTGGTATTCCCAACCCTCCCCTCCTCCTTTTATCTTTCCCCTAATCTTGCTTCACCATACCRCTACCTTTTGAATCTCCATTCACTTTTCTGTTTCCTTCTATAATTTCTTTCCTGACAGCCTCCTCCTAACTCTCAGTATCCTTAGAATTCTCTTTTTCTCAGTTTATGTTTGCTTCAATTACCACCATCTCTAACATCATCCATGATTYCCAAATCTCTACTTCATATTCAGATCTCTTCTGACTTCCAGATCTGCATACCCCATTACCACCTGGATAGTTCCTAACAATGTGCCATAMACACAACTCTGACAATGTGCTGACATCACAACCCTGGTTTCATTTCATCTGCACAGAAGCACTTTGAGGATCAGTACTATTATCATCATTTGAGTTTTACAACCGAGGAACTGAGGCTTAGAAAAGCCCAAAGATTAATAACTTACCTAAGAACACATACATATCTAGATAGATGGTTAATAATACAAGGCCTCAAAGCCCTTACAAACTAGTTGGGAAGTAACATTAAACAAGTTCACAAATATCTACTTCAGGACAGGACTAGCTATTTGTCTAACACAAGACAAATAATATGGGAATGTACCACAGGAGGTCTTGACCCTGTAAAGAGAGGTGGTGGTAGAGCGGTCAGAGGCAGCTTCCTGAAGAAGGACCATTTGAACTGAGATGTGAAGTAGGAGTAGAAATTAGCTGGGGAAAGAGAGATGAAAGTTGAAGGGAAAGAGAGGTCCAGGTGGAGGAACTAGCATGTACAGGACCTGAGTGGTACACTGAAGGCAATGCTAAACGAAGAGAGAGCAAAAAAATAGGTAAGGATATTTGAAGTTGGAAGGAAAGGCAGAAATAGATTATGCAGGGACCAGTGGGAGAGTACAAGGAGTCTGTCAATTTTTCTTTTCTAGTGCTAAGAATGGAACCCAGGATCTTGCACATGCTAGGTAAATACTCTACCACTGGGCTCCACCTCCAGCCCTCAAAAGGGTTTTAAGCTAGAGAATGCCATGATCAGATATGTGTTAGGTACCTCAACAGGATGGAAGCAGGGGAGCCATAGGAGGTTCTCCTTCAAGGTCCCGTGGAAACACTGCCACTTCTATGCAGCTTTCTTTGACTCTGCCTCAGCACTGATCACATGCTATCACCAAGACCTGCTTAGTCTAGAGCCCCTACTACACAGAGACTGTTGATCTTTGGACCTCCAGACCCTCCACAGCAGCTGCCTCTGTCAGAACAGTATTATTGAATGAAGGGTTGGTTGAACAAACATCTAAGAAACAGTGAAGCCAGTGAATTTGAATGCAAATTCAATTCCCTAAAAATTTTAAAAATGAGTCACAGCTCAGGGGGAGATACTACATTGGAGTTGAGGATGCCATACGGTTAGTGCCTTACTCTTCTTGGTAAAGGATTTTAATAAAATTAACATCTGCTCTGAGATAATTATTGCCCCCTCATCTTTCCTCTGGAGACCTTCTCAGACAGTTGGAGTCTAATTACCAGAAATTGCAGACAGTTTCATCTCTACTCTTTTTCACTGATGACCAAATACATTAGTAAACTATTTATAAACAAAACAAAAGCTTCTGTGTGTGTGTGT